CATGGAAGAAGCAGATCCAATGAGAAGTTTGAATTTTATTTTTCTTGGGAAGATGAACAATCTCTTCTCTTTAGATTCTGTATATAGCATCACCCCAGACAGGGCCCTTTGCCAGCCTGAAGTTTCTGTGGGACACCATCTTCTGTCAGTAATGTTTAAGCCAGGGGGTTTTTTTGTAGTAGAGGTTGTAGTTCGTGATGATAGCTGGTGTTTCTGTAGCATTTTGTATTTAAAAAAAACACCCTGGAAGTAATTTTTTTTCTCTTCAAGACACCAATGGGAAGGTCCAAAATAGAGAAAGCTGTTTAATTTGGGAAAGGATCCTCAAGTGTGCATTTTCCTTTGCATATGCCCAACAATTTCTTTCTAGGAGACAAAAGCAGAAGATGCACTCCCATTTCTGCCTTACAGCAGGCTCCCTTTGCATGCGTTGTCTTCTAAGCAGATCCTTATTTTTGTGAGCACAGATTGGAAGTGAAGCATATTCCTGTGTGCTTGTTTTGGGCTAGAGTCTTCCTCGGGAAGATCTTACTTTGCAATTGCAATCTAATTGCAGCATAATGTGGTTTTTCAGATTCAAGGAATATGCTTCTATCTGTCTTTTTTTTTTTTTTTGTAATCAGGTTCCTATCCTATAGAAAACAGCCGCTGATACCTGCATATGCTTTGCTCTATGAATAATTCAAATCAAGATTTGATTTAAAGCTTGCAGCACTTAACACGAGTCAACAGAATAATTATGTGATTGGTGCTGGGAGAAACTAGCATCTATATTAAAGGGAGAGAGGAGTCAATGCTAGAAGTTAGATGAGCAAGTTAATTAGTCCTGCCTCTGCCACCTATGACCTTCTGTGACCTTGTGGTAAAGCTTTTGACTGTCACATTGCTGTGTAGTTGTTGAAAGGGAGGTATTGTTTCAAAGAAAAGAGGCTATTGTTTCAAAAATCCCCAAAGCCTTGTAAGCCTTGCATCTTATTAAAGTCTGTGGTGCTTTCAGCTCTGTCAAATATTAGCAGGTGATATTTATTATACTAATTGTAAAGTGTTATATTTAAAGAATTTAAAATGCTGACTTTTTTGAGAAAATTGCTAGAAACAGCAGTAGGAGAGAGAAAGCTCAAAGTTTCTTCACTTTCTGGACGTATCGGAGTTGACGAGTTTTTAAACACCAAAGTTTAATGAAAAATCCAATTCTTGCTAAGCTCTGCTATTGGTCTCTGAGGCTGTCGCTGTTTGTAATGGATTATGAGAACAATGTCATTGAACTGAATTCCTCTTTAATATGCCACAATTGAAAGGGTGATAAGAACACTTTCACATTCCAGAAAGCTTTTTGATTGTAATAACTTTAATAACTTTAAGTTATGCGTTGCTATTAAAATATATAAAATTATGAGGTCCCCACATCACGAAGTAGTGCAAAAATCATTAGAATGACTTTGCTGTGCTGATGGATTGAGCACGAGATGAACACTGGCCTACTGCTAAAAAGGTGAACCCTATTAAAATGATTTTTAATAAGCTTTTAAAATGGTTGCCATTTTGCTGTTCACATAATTAAATGGGAGGGAAAGCTACTCAAACTACTAAGTAAAGAAAAACCTTTGGGCCTCGCAACACTTTCTCCTGTCTTGTTTCCTTTGCAAACACTTGGCATATAAAGTTAAAACTTGCAGGTATGGCTGTCATAAATTTTAAGTTGAAGGCCATGACGGTTGTAATGCATGTCAAGAGGGCAAAACCACAGCTTTTCCTATTTTGGATTTTTTTTTTTTAACCTGGCTTTCAATCTTTAAGAGTTTTGTACTTGGCAAGAGTATTTTCATTCTCTAAACTGGTGTTCCTGAATCTCTGTTTAGAGTGAGCAACCCAGACGATTGGTGTGTAAGTTACCCATTTTACATCCCTGTTACAGTGCCAGGGTCCTGTGCCCTCACACTGACACGTTGACAAATTTATAATTAGGATCTTTTCCAGCAAACCAGCAACATAGCAAGTTGAACGCTATTAGTGAAATGAAATTCCTAAGTGCATTTGGAAGAACACTGATTACCAGACTAAATAATCCGGAACAAATAGCTGGAGTTTTGAAAGGCTAACAAACGAAAACGAGTAATAAAACCAAGTCTTTTGGAATATTTGTAGCCGTTATCTAGCTTTTTTTCTTTCCAAGGTAATCATGCAAACCTAGCAAAAGTAAGATTGCTATAATGTAGTGCTTTGCATATTAGGGGCAGTGATTTAGATGCTATTGGTGAAATGCTGGTAGGAATTCACAGCATTGATTTGTATAAAATTTGGACATGTTTCTATGAAGGCACCGTGAGCTTGCCAGTGTCTGCTAAGAAATTTTTTTAAGGGAGCACATCAAAAGATACCAGAGTGCTTCTCACCTAGTTTTACTCAGCACAAATAACACTATTCTGTAAATAAAGAAAAATCATATCTGCTGCTGGAAATGGGTTTAGTATAAAAGCTTTGAAAACAACTCTCCCCCTGCCCGCCGAGTCCTGACAGAGGAGATCCTTTCATCTAGCCTTGCTCCCACTCCAGCAGCTTGCAGCGGCCTCCTGGGTTGCAACAAAGTCCGTGTCTAGTCCCTTCTGGATCTCTAAGAAATTTTTCTTTCCTTCATCTCTGGCACTTGGTGTTGATGTCCTCCTGCCCCTCTCTCAGCTTGCTGTGACCCTCATCCTCTCCCTATCCCATCTGAATTTGGGAAGCATCTTTCCACGTGCCAGTAAGGAACACTCTTCTACTACTTTCTTCCACTTTGCCGTCCACATTGCAGCCAACAGGATGGAGCAACTTTCCCCCTTGCTGCCTAGCCACAGCTCTTTAATCAAGGCATATACTTGTGGTGTGAGCAAACTTTGGCCATCAATCACCATTTCCCTCACTATGGGACAACTCCTAGCCAGCATATCTGGGCAGAGCAGCCTTTATTTCATTGAAGCAACAGCTCCTTTGTGTCAAGGGCATATCAGCTCTCTGCTATGTGAACACATCAGCATTGCAACCAAGGGCAAATGCTAATACGGGATTTAAAAGAGGGCTAATTTGCTCAGAGGTGGTTGTTGAAGAGCACATAATGCCAAGCCATATGGCTGGAAACTTTCGTACAAAATGAATTCCATCATAACCTGGTAGGGTCTGCTTGTTGCCATTTTCCCAAGGATCTTTTTCATTTTCAAAGAATCTGTGATATTCACTGAGCAACTCTGGTGTGCAGAGCTGGGAAAACAAGTATACCTGCCATTCCTAGTGTTTCCCTGTCAGATAACTGTATGCTTATAGCAGGGGGATTTTTTTTACTCTGCCATTAGAGCTATCATGCCAAAACAATGAGTAATGGCTCTACAGGAAAGGCATGACAGTCAATTATCTGGCCATGCATACCAAGGTGAATGCAATAGGTCTTGTAATGTCTCCGGCGAGATATTTTGGTCCCTTTGAGCCTTCGGTAGCCATAAACTGGAATTACTGCAGTAACTTTTCAGCACAGTGCTAAAACTCTTAACAGGATGCCATGTTTTACATTTGATTTTCTACCATATTCATCCTTCAGGCATTACTGAATTGGGACTTTTTCTAAAGGGCCCTACTTTGTGAACTAGTTATGGCAAATGTTGATATGACATCTGTTGCTCACTTTAAATTACCTCTTAGTCTGTTGGAATTCATCTCTAAGGCATTTTTGTAACGGAATTTTTTTCGTGAACATTAATACAACCTGTGGGAGATCTGAATAAAAGAGAAAATTCACCAATCCTGTCAAGAGAACAGTTTATGTGCCAGCTGATTTTTTTGTTGTTTTTTGTTATCCTGCTTTCTGTGATATTAATACAGACCATTTCCAAGGCATTTAAATAGATAACAGGTTGTTACATTATGGAGGAATTCTCCTTGAGAAGAGAGTGAATAATTAGGACTGCTTCCTGAATGAACCACTTCCATGACCCAAAAGCTGCTGCATTCAAATAACTAAACCTTGTGTTCTTCAGAGGAGTTTGTGCTGTTCTGTCTTGCAGATATATTTGCCACTGAATCCAAAATTAGTGATTAAGTTCTTAAGTTGTATTTTTCTGTGGTCAGTCTGTAGCAGAACAGAGGAGTTTATCCCTGTCCTCCATATGAGATTTGCCTTACAACTATTTGGGTGACAATGGATACTTTTTTAGCACATGCCTGATCAATGTTTTGCCTACTGTGTTTCATTCAAAAGCTATAAATATGACTTATTAAATCATGCTAAATGATTGTAATAGTTCAACCCATATGTGAAGGAAACCCCATCAGGTTTGTGAAAACTAACTTTGTGTTAATGTACATCTGTCACAATTTCTGCAGGTACAAAAGGATACAAGTTGCACAGTGGTTGGTGAATATTAACTTGTGGGAAGGAGAATGTTTCTTACGTGTAAGACTTAAAAAACCCATGAAATTTAGAGGGCAGCTCAGTGAAAAGATGCTGGTGGGTTCTGAGAGAATATGGGAGTCATTCAATCTTTGTGCAGATGGCCTTGATCAAAACAAATCCTTTTCGATACAAGGCTTGTGGAGGCTTGATGAGGGAAAGATTTCTGAAGGCCTTTTGTGTCCATATGTAGTGAAATTCCTGCAGAATGGATTTGAGCTTTGCACCTGCTGTAGTGTTTGGTAATGCTAGACGGCAGTATTAGCAGGTCATGATTAGCAGAAAGCATTACATGACTACAGAATAAACCCGAAAGCATCACACAAGCACAGAATAAAACAGTTCCTAAGCTTGGCAGGGGAAGAAAGTGGAAAATACTTCTTTTCTGCTTTTCCTGAGCTTAATGCAGACATTTCAGTAGACATGTTTTATGGATGGATTTAAATGCTGATGGTTAAAAGGACTTTTCACAGTCCATGGGGATCTTGTTTCTTTTTTATACCACTGTTCATGTAATTCTTCAAAGTGGTTGTAATCAATTTGATCAAGTAAACCTTATGACACTTTGCATTTTTTTCCACAGAAATACCTCAGGAGCTTTTTCTCTGCAATGCTGAAATCTCCATCATCTCCGCTGCACATTGATAAAGTGGGGCTAACTCTGTCAAAACACACCATCTGTGAATTCTCACCCTTCTTCAGGAAAGGCGTTTTTGACTATAGCAGCCACGGGACCAGCTAGCTTTTGGGCCGGGACGCTTCTGCCGGAGGAGCACAGTGGGAGTGGTGCCTTCACTTTTGCGGTGCAAGAGAAATGGGGGAAAGGAAAAAAGGTATCTTCCTCCATACCTGGGAAGTTGCATCAAAACGACTCCAGTTAAAGACAGCTACGCCCCAGCGCTAGCCTTTGGCCTTTACAGTTCTCATATTAGTGCCTGCATTTTCCCAGCATGGGGTATACAGACATTTTTGTGTAAGTTGCTCTGTTAATACTGTACAAATATTCTGACTCTCATGCTGTGTTTGGATCCGCTCCTTAGCAGGAGCGTTTCCTTCCCATTTGCTCAGACAATTTGTTCTGGTGGTGTGAGAGCATCTCGTGTTTACCGTGGCGGTGTGTCATGCTGACAGAGGGTTTCTGAGCAGCCTTTCGGTTTCTGTCCAAGCTGTTACTTAAAGAACACTTCCTCTTTTGCTGCCTTATAGCATACTGTGGCATTTAAGGTAATGCTCATACTCCACTGTTGTTTCTTTTTTTTTCCCTCCCAGACACACATTTTAACTATTTGACTGTATAATTGTATTGTTTTCCTCAGAAGAATTAAAGGCCCTGGGTAACTTGAATGTTTACAAAAATATATGCAGCAGAAAGAATATAATTTAAACCCTGTATAAGTCTTCCGCACTTGGTTGTTTTGAAGCAGAACGAATCACTCACCATTAATTAAGAAGTAGAGGAAGCAATAGTTACCAAAGAATGCGGTCAGCATCTTTTCAGATTTTCTGATTACCCAGACTGTAAGTGGATACTATGCACTGTACAGAGCTCGTAGCTATGCATAAAGCTAATGCAAAGTGCTATATTTCTTTTTTTGAAAAATAGCTTCTTCACAATAGTGTAACACTGTAAAACCTGAGTTTTATTTGCATTGGTTAAAATTTACAGGATTTGACTAATAGTACTTTAAAACTACTCAGGACTCATTCAGACTTGCACATGTATATACAGGTAGAACTCATTTTATATTGCTGCAAATCCAAAAATGTATATACAGTGTGACTGGAATTGAGTACGTGTACATGTTAATGTATAATTGGTTGTATAAAAATCAGAATCAAACAACTGCCAGTTATTAAAACGCATAATGAAAGGTAGGTTTTGTGTGCCATTTGTTACGAGTGTGAAACATTATTTGTGAGTTGCCATCATTGACCACCAGTAGGTCTTGGTCTATTTCGTGTTGTAGAAGATGATTATTAAAACCTAAAGTAACGACACTGGTGACATTTTTATTTCATGACCTAAATTATAGGAACAATAATGTTTTACATTTAATATGATGTATAGAGATAATAGGGTTCCATTACTAAGCCTAGTCTGCTACAATAAGCATTTCTAAGGGGGGGGGAAAGAAAAAGAAAAAAAAAATTAGAATGGAAAATTTAAATTTTGAGAATATTTTTATTACTTTGATTCATTTCAGTGAAAAAAAAAGTTAGGGTAAAATTTCTAAACCACTGGAGCCCTGTTATCAGCCTTTAATGTCTTTGGATAGAGTCAGATACAGTCAGACATATCTGACTTGGGCATCTTAATACCTTCAGTTGGGAGCCAGGTTTTTAAGCTAACCATTCCAGTCAAACCTGTTGATTCCCAAAGTGGTTTTTCACCGTGTCCCAGCTGTTCCCAGTCTCCTTCATGCACTTCTGCACTGGGGCACTGACTTCACATGCGATTTGTCACTGACGGGGACCTGACCTCGTGATCCTTACCGTGCCCTGTGCTCGTATTGCACCTCTCCGATCTCTCCCAGGGCCACTCTGTGCACGTTATCGTCCCCTTGACCATGAGGCTGTGTCCTCCCTTCCTTCTCCACCCGTTGTTTGGCCTTGCTCGTGCTTCCTGAATCAGAAAGAGGAGGTTGGGTGCTTGCTGGATTCCTACAGTGGGCTGAGTAACTGCAGTTTGGTGTTGCTGCACGCGTTAATGGAAGATCGGTAACTTCCCTTGGCTGTATTTACCCTCGTGACCCATGTGAATGCTTCGGAGGCAGAAACTGGACATGGTATTGCTGGTTTTTGTAGTGTCCTGGGAACTTTGACCCTAAATCTCACTTCAAAACCAGAAAGTCTTTTCTGTCTCTCCTTCTCCCTTGGCCTACTCCCCGTCCTGCCTCATTGCAATGCAATATGATAAGGAATTAATGCTTAAGAATTTTAAAAAAAATTAATTTTACATAACTGTAGAACATTAATTTCTGTGTGCCACTTCTATGAAAGGACCTGGCAGGCCAAGAAATGGCAAGCTGCTTTATCTGCTGCACAAACGCAGTTTCTGCAGATTTCCTGCCTGAAAAAGCCCCAGTGGTGCCAAGCACTTTCCCGTGGCAAGCAGCGCAGAGCCCGATGAGCAAAACTCCGTTGTGCTGCACGGCAAAAGCTAGTCTGCGAGAAGGGTTGAGTGTGCAGGGCTCCCAGAGGTAAGTCCCATGCTTTGTGTCACTTTGGATTTGGAGAAGCTGTTTAAGAAAAACACAACTAGACACAGAGTTAAGTCGAGTGAAGAATATGAATATTTGTATTTTTCATATGAATTTAAAAGATGACTTGTACTCGGTTCCCGTCTACAGTGCAAATTAATTCAGGGAGGACCAGATGCTCTAGTGGTATAAACCTGCCAATCAGGTGGCTAATTTATGTTGGCTAGTTTATCTGGCCTGCAGCATTAAATGTGTACATAGCAAATAACAAAGTAAAGGCCGATTAATCACTCCATTTAAAATGTCATCAAGTTAAAAGCTACAGAAATTCAAGTGTAAGCATGCAATTAGGACCACAACCCCAGGCTACCAACTTTTCCCACCTTCTTATCTATCCTTCAATGGTACCCAGAGTTTAATCAATGACTGCAAGCTCAGGCTAGACTGAGGCATCTTTTAATAATTTAATCAGTAAAAACATGATGGCTCTTTATAACCTACAGTCTTTAAACCGAGGCTTCATAAGAAATTTTCAATAGAAGCCAAGATGCTTGTCGAAATTATTAGCCATTTTCAAGATGTTGAAACTGCATTTCTGTAAGGATATCCCCAGGCTCTACAATTCTCCATTAATTTTATTTTTAAAATATTGGCACTTCCAAAAATACCGTGAAAGTCATCTCCAGGGCTTGTACAGTTTTTTTTTTCAAAGTGCCTCTGTAATTGGGCTTGTGGGCTTCGCATCAGCGAAGTCCTTAAGCCAAACCTTAACTTCTGTATCAGGACTATTTATATTTCAAGCAAAGTGTGTATCTAAGTGCTTTACTGAACTGGTGCCATCCTTCCTACCCATGTAACTGAAGTTGTGCCTCCATTTAAGTCACAAACCACTTGGCTCATATCTCTGTGGACCCTCCAACAATTTTTAATCAATAGGGATGCACAAAAAAGGCCAAAAGGCACACTGGAGATGGTGCCAGGCTATTTTTCTGCATGATGACTTGGTCAAGATGGAAAAAACCTCTGGGCAAAGCCTCCTTGTTCATCTTGACCCCCTTCACTCCTTTAACTGGAAGTGCTTTTCCTCTGAATATGCTGCTTCGCATAGGAAGGAGGTAGAGCAGCCTCCAAAGCCCTGCTGCTAAATGGCTCCTGGCAGTCCGCTTGCTCCACAAGCTGCCCTGTCCTAGCAGCCTGCAGGGTCAGTCCTAAAACCAATGCCCAGCTGCTGCTGTTGGAGGTGATGTTAGAGACGAGGGTCTTCAGAATTGCCCTAAAAATGTGAGGGGAAAAAATCCACCTGTGTAGACCTTGGCTGGTTACTTCAAGTTTTTGCAGTTGTTGCAGATAAAATGAAGAGCTGAAATACATAAATAAAAGAAAAAAAGGGGGGGAGCGGGGGAGATGACACACACTAAATGTGTTGCTCCAGAAAATCAGACCCAATCTTTCCAGTTTAATCAGTGATCCTTTAAAAGCTATTGCAGAATTTCATATTTAGTATCCATGTGACCTATCCTGTATATGAGAGTAAGAAATAAGTTTGTACTAGACTGTGATAAAGCTTGAAATGTTATATGCTGCCAGCTCACTGAAGCCCCAAAATTGGAGGAAATGAATTATTTTTAACTTAGCAAGATTCTTATGTCCACCCTGGATTTGTTTTCTCTGTGTTTCATTAGATCCTGGGAAAAAAAAAAAAATGTTTGATACGCTGAAGAGCAAAAATCTGTTGGCTTCCAACCTCATAATGAGAAAAAGATGTTCCTTTGCAGGAAAGTCTTAATGAGCAATTAAGATCTATGGAGTTGCATAGGCCCTGAGATCCAGTTAAAAGGTTGAAGTCCTGATATATTTTCTTGGCGGACCTATGAAGTGAATTTTTGATACACTGGATCCTGCCACTTTTTTTTTTAATTGTTGTTTTATTATTTTAAGAGAGTGTTTTGTTATAATTAGTTGCAGGCTAGAATGCTATTGTGGATGCACTTTTGTGAAAACAATGACAACAAAGTTGATCAGAAAAGAAACTCAAAAGC